TGTTCTGTGTACCTGTTTCTGAAACCTGCTGCAAGGTTGGACTTGGAAGGGCTGCAGCACAAGCCAGCTCCGCTGCTTGCTTTAGGGTTATCAGAAAATTCAGTTACAGAAGGAGAGCATGTGTGCGCTGCAGTATTTTAAAATACTTTTTTAAAATAGAAAAAATGTTATTTTTAAGCTGCAAAAATTGGTAGAGGAGTTTGGGTGAAGGTATAATATGCAGCTGACAGTACCCCTTTAAGTTCTGTCTCTGGTAGTGTGCATGTCAATACAGGATAGCAATTTTAATGTTTGTTTATAGTAATGGAAACTGATGTGATAAATCTACCAAATGGTCCTTCCAGTAATTCTTTCATATTCTTCCTTACTTGAATGTGTTTTATATATTATCTATTTTAAATTGTAAGTGCTTCAGGACAGCTAACACATCTTACTTTGGTTGTGATTTTGCAACCTTTACTTAGGCTGAATATGTTAGTTGACCTGACTGATTGTTGCCATGTTGACTCTCCATTTACAGTATATTGTGCAAGTGTATGACACAAATAATAAATTACACAAATAATACATTTAAGCAAACAGTATACACTTCTTAGTCTGCATGACTGCCTGTGTATTGTGAGTTACACTTGTTAAATGTACATATGTGTATTATCTTTGCACAAGTTTATTTTTTCCAGAGACTGAGCACTAACTTCACTGTAGAGTGCTAGTCCATTCAAGTCGATCTAACTGAACCAAATTATGCCAACAGTAAATTTGGTGCTAACTGTCAGAGACTAGCTCTGATTATTTTGAATTTTATGGTACGTTTGAAGCAAAAATCTAGGTTTTTAGGATGATTTCTTGAGATTTAACTTTGTATATTCAGTGGTAATGCTTATTATAAGTATTATGAATCTTAAATATATTAACAGCCCTGAAGAAGTTTATAGAAATTTAACAAAAGCAGGATTTACCAGAGTTGACTCTATATCAGATTTGGAAGGTTATACATATTGTCTGGACAAACATTGCCAGGATGTGCTGGTGTTTCCTTCCTTTCTTAAAGAAGAACTACTCAACTTGGAGCTTTTCACAGATTACAAACTCTTAATACAGGTGAGTTCATTCAGTAAATAGGAGCTTCCTTAATCTGCTCTGCAAACTAAGGGTGGAAACAGACATCAACTTGTGTTGCTTTTGTGCCACCATAACTTTTTTTTGTGTGGCAGCACAGAAGCTAAGCATACATCCGTACCCCTTGTTATGCCATGAATAATGGTCACAACAAAGGTGGTATCCTTTTGTTTTGCTATTTAGCAGCAGATGTCTGTTTACTTTATGGTGCAAGACTGCTGGAAACCCAGAGTTGCCTGTGCTTTTCAGGGGTTTGAGGGGCCTGATTCTGTGTATCCCAGGAATTCCTGTGCAGGATTGGGTTCCTTAAGCCCTGGGAGCACCTGCCTGGCTTTCCTGCTTGTGAAGACATATTCCGGAGGCATGTCTCAGTAAGGGGGAAAGCCAGGCAGGCATTCCCATGGCTTGCGGGGCCCAGCGTTGTGTAAGAATTCCCAGGGTGTGCAGGACCAGGCTTCTCAAGCCCCAGGAGAACATATCGCTTGTTGTTTGCAGCATCAGCGGGGTGAGAAGTGAGTGATGTGTTTTGCAGCTTAGCTGTGCTGAGGTGCATCCCAGCACAGCTGGTTTTGCTCCACTAGCAATGTCTACTTCTAGCCTAAGAGAATGCTGTGCCTTAGAATATGTTGCATGCCTTTTCCTTCTTTATTTTAAATGGCTAAAAGTAGCTAGTTGCCAACAGTTTGTGAAACGTCCTAGATACTGTCTTTATAAAAACCATAATCATTGAATCATATTGACACTTGAATGTAAATGCTTATAAACGATAGTCAGTGTAATCAGTAGGATGTTTAAGTTAAGATTTTATTTTAAAGCTGTTTTCTGTGAAAGGCTTAGGTAAAATTTTCAGAAGTGCCTCAGTCCCATCCTCAAAAATGACTTGGAAAATGGAACCTAAACACCACTTAAGCATCTGATTTGGATGCTTTAAATAATTTTACTCCTAGTCAATAAATAATAGCATCACAATACTTATATCTTTCCTCCTGCAGTTCCATGCTTGCGGTGGAATAGTCACTGCTGCCTCTCCATGCATGATATAGAAAGGTTCCTAGACCACTGACTTTACAGTAGGTTAAGTAGTCTTTCTCCTGACTTGCACCCAGTATTCCCCCACGCAAGCTTATTAAGAGCTTCCTACCATAATACAGAAGTGAGGTAGAGCCCTTTGTACAGCTGTTTTTTTCTGGTAACCCTGGGATGATCTAGTCAAGGTTTTCAGTTATAAGTGATCTTCAATTACATAACTTTGAGACTCCTTAAAAAGCCCTGATTTTTTTTTTTTTTTTTTTTTTTCCTCCAGAGAAGGAGTTCATAAGTTAAGCTTTCACAATATGTCCCAAGCAAGCACCAAAACCACCACTTCTGAAAATGTTAGTTCCACCTGCATGTTGAATACAGTCACGGAATAGGAACTCCATTCATATTTACCTGAATCCAAGATTAATTCAAATTTAAATCAACTCCAGCTATACTTGGATTCAGTACATGGAAAATTATCAATTTGTTATAATTTTTCATGTATAGAATATAATTAGTGCAAGGTCAACCTTAGTTCTTCTGGGCAGGGGGGTGTAGACAGCGGATTGCAGTTCTGCCCTGGCTCCTGACCACGCTGTCACTGCTGCAAGATCCCAGCTCTGACCCTGGAGCAGCTCCCTGCCCAGCAGTGTGCCCTGCCAGTGCTGCTGGGGTTGGTCTCCATGGAAACCCTGGTCTTGCGCTGTCACGGTCCCACTGCTGCTGGTGTCTCCATGGAGTCTCAGCAACATGGGCAGGGGCTGCTGGGAAATGGAGTCTGCCATGGGCCCAATCCAGCTCATGGGCTGGACTTTGCCTGCCCCTGCCTTAAAGCAACTCTGTCTACCTCAGCTAGGATATGAAGCAGGAGAATAGCACTTAACAGCCCTATTAAATAAATCTGAAGAGATACCTGATTTCACCAGTTGGGGATGAAAATCACTGTTGATATAACTAGTACTCCCAGATTGAAAGCCAGATTTACCTGTGTAAAGGAGACCTGCAGAATCCAGATCTTGTTGGAGCTGCCTCAGCAGAACCTTAGCACTCATCTCCAAAAATAGGCAGTTTGGAGGCAGTGATATTAAAAGAATTTGTCAACATCAAGAGAGATTTTCTTGAGATCCAGAAACATTCAGCTTCTTCGGACATGCAGTTCACCTACAACAGAAGGGCTGTTAAATAGCTAGGTCCTAATCTAAGTGATTTTTATCAGCAAAGCATCTTCCTATGAGAGACCCTCACGTCTGTTTCTGATGCAAATGAGCCTAGGTTAACTCAGTTTTTCAACATCCAAAAAGATCTGCTCATTAGAACTTTGCCAAGTCTCTGGTGGCAACAATGAAACTTTTCTTCACATCCTGCAAATCTACTGTCACAGTTATTAAAAACAACTGTCACAGTTTGTCAAGTTCAGCACAGTGCTTGTCATCTGTGTTCTACATGTCTCCCAGCTTTATCTATTTCAGGCCATCAGTATCCTCTAGGGACTTCTGATGGGGCTATGAAAGGTAAGTTTAGTTGATACAGTACTGGTACCTAAAAAAGGTTTATAATGTCATACCAGGTCATTTCCCAGAGTGATCTGAAAATGAAGTTTCATTTGTTTCTAAGAAAGTATCAAGAAAATGCATACTTTCCTACAATGTAAAAAGTGTGTTAGCAACCTCAAATTGGAGGAAGTAATAGTTGATCTACATCACAGATGCACCTTTATCTACAAAAATATCTACTGGTAACTTTAAGATCACCCATTCAATCTTTTTGGAGGTCTTCTGGCTCTTTATGATCTCTGGGTTCAAGTCTGTATCAATGAAGCATATGTTGCTCCAGGGTAAAGAGATTGCATTTAATCAGGACTTTCTCCACATCTCTTCCTTTGAACTGAAAGGGGTTACTTCTCCTTTGTGACTGGATAGTGCAGCCACATGACTGTCATTGCGTGTGTCTTCATGTCATAGAAAATGTGATATAGCAAGCTTTGAGGGTACTGCCTTCAGTGGGTGCATGTTGCATATTGTACAGCATTTATTTTTCACAGTAATTTGCTTTAAGTCTTTTTGGGGGTTCACTGGCTTAATGAATTCCCCCAGCCTCAACGTGAGGAAGGATTGAGGCTGGAACTGTATAGTTTGCTTAATTTAGTAACTTAGGTAAAATTTACTTTATATTTTGGAAAGTACAATATGATTAGCTGTATGGACCCCCTCCCTTTCCCTGTTTTGGGTGAAATGGATGAGCCCACTTTTGTAGTTTGAAAAAGTACAGTACTATGAGAAGCCAAATTAATAACATTTAGCCTGAACTAAAATTCAACAACCAAAATCTACCAGTTCTTAATTAGCTGTATTTAATTACTTGGTAATATGCATTGTCCTCTAGGATAAATCTCGCAGCCTTGCTGTACGTTCTGTGAAAGCCTTATTGAACATGGATGACGACGTCATAGTGGCTCATATGGGTTCCTGGTTGACTGTTGCCCATATATCAGTACTGACAAATCAGAACACATCTAAAGTATTTGTATGTGGAGTAAAATCACAGGCAAAGGGAGCTGCGCTGAAGGACATGTTCAGATGCCTGGACTGTAAAAGTATGAGTTAAACTTCTGTTTTATAGTATGGATATTTGCAGATGCCATTAAGTATGATGACTCTGCCTTGAGAATCACTGACCTAAGACCATAAGAGCCAGATTCTCTTGTTTAAGTATTCTTAGTGAGATTCTGTTTCACCCTGAGTCCCTGAAAAACTGTTAATGCAAAAGGTGGACAGCCCCCCTCAATCTCCTCCTTGCTGCTTGTTGATTCAGTCTGGAAGGTAAGATGGCAGTTGTTAGAAAATAAATGCATTAATGGATTTTTCAGAGATTCAAGCATTGTGGAATAAATTACACTTACCTAAGTGCCTAAATGGATTCTTGTCTAATCCATTTTTCTGCCTCATAGATAACAATAGAATCTGTCTATTTATGTCTTCATTTTTATTAGGGAACGGGTCAATTAGGGGTTCCCTGTTGGAAATGCTATTTCTTAAGCCCCAGAGAATTCTGTCTCTGCAACTGAAATGAAGTTATAACTGTCACTAATCCAACTTTCTTAATCAATTAAGACAGTGGTGCTCAACCTTCCAGGTCCGCAGGCCAGATCCTGTGTGTGGGCTTAGTGTGTTGCATCTAGTCATGTGCTAGCCTGCCCCCACACTCTGCTACCCAGCCTTATTCCCATAGGTCCAGAAATTTGGCAGAAGGGGAACAGCAATTAACACTGCCACTTCTCCCCAGTGTCAAATTTTGGGGTGCATAGTGACCCATGGGATGGATGACATTGCCTTGCAGGCTGGATCTGGTTGCAGGCCAGAGGAGCACCACTAATTTAAGAAATAAGAAGGGAGTCTTTTTGTGGTATAAGACAGACTGATGTAGAGAGCATTCCTCAGTAAACTTCCTGAGGTGAAAGTGGGATAGAGTGCTTCTTTCAGCAGCATTGGGGTTCCTGCATAATTTAGGAGGCGTTGTTGCAATGTAATACAGTTTTTATATTCAGTTTTCTGGCCATATGCTCATTTTACTTTCAGTTGCATCTGATTTTGTTAGCTCAAGAAAGAAATCCCAGATGTGACTCTAAAGGCATTTTTGGGAATTTAACTTAAAAATCCTCTTGACAAGCCTTTCTCCTAATTGTACCAACAGGGCATAATGTGAAAAGGCTGTGGGATTCAGTCATGGGCTCTTGCTGTAGAGATGATTAAGTATTCAAATGCAAATATAGTTGTGGCAGATGCCAAGGTCCATGTCCTCAAAGGTATTTGAAATCAATTGGAATTGGATGCCTTTGAGGGCAGAGTTTAGTGAAATTTGCATAATGTCAATGTGATTACAGGTTTATTGCAGTAAAATATTACTGGATTGCTTTCATACTTAGCTTTCAGTGTTTGCTTGTTTCTCAGATACTGTGCTACTACATGAGGATTTTACAGAGATAGAACCAACAGATCACAGACTGCAAAAAGCAAAAGTTATTCTGTTGCTACCTCGATGTTCAGGACTGGGTGTTAGTAACCCAATAGAATTTATTCTAAATGAACATGAAGGTAATCTTACAATTAAGCTAAATAGGATAAAACATTTTGTTAGCTTTTTAACTGCTTTTGAAATGTTGTTTGTGCAGTGCTCACTATTTATCTCCTGATTTTTACTACAATTAGTTAACTTAGTTCAACTAATATATATATTAGTCATATGAATAACTAAATACTTTGAATATACTACTTTGTATAAATGTAAACTTTTGTAGAAATGCCATTGTATTATTTCATGACTAAAATTACAAGAATGGATATACTCTGATCATTAGAAATGGTAGTGGAAATATCTGAAAATAAAGAGTATTGGAATTTCTAAAAAGTTGAATTTTTTAGAAAATTCTAAATTTCAAGTTACTTTTGAATTTTTAGGTAAATTAAATTTTGGATAATTGTAGTATCGTTTAATCTGCAGTTACAAACATTCAGTTTTCAGCAACAATGGTGTTTGGCTGTAATGCATGTTGGTCAAATAAACCATCTCTAAAGTGTATCTTTAGTATTCTTATATACCAGTACACTCTTTTTTGTAGAGCTGTTTTTCACCAAAGCTAAGATGCTTTTTTCTTGGCTCAGAGTTTATCCTTAATTGTAGAAATGTTTGATTTTTGTTTAGACATAAAATTTGGCAATTATTTTCTTTAAGTGTCTATCTGCTACTGTATTTATGAATTAATAATCTGCCTTTATGACATCAGCATTGGCTGGTATGAAAACAGGTAGGCTGCTTGCAGATGTGAAAAAAAATCCAAAAAATGGTGCTTTACTTCAAACTCGGCATGCTCCCACACCAAGCCCAGCACATTTCTAGAAAAGGCATTGCGTTACTTGGACCTGGCTCTCCTAACTTCTGTATAAATTGGGCGCTTTAGTGGGGCTTTTTTGGCACTTTCACCTAATAGCTGGTTGAATCAACTTTAGATAAAAACACCAAAAAGCCCCACTGAAGCACCCGATCTATAGATACTGCAGAGCCAGGTTGAAGTAACGCACTGCTTCTTCCGGTAAAATGCTTGGGTTTTTTTTTCCCCCCCATGTCTGTCAGCACCCATAGTATAAGAAGAAACGTGATTCTGAAGACAGAAGATGAAGATACAACTGTTAAGTGAAACAAGGAAATATTAGGATAGGCACATGGATAATAAAAATAATCATAGAAAATTATGGAAAATAGTTGTGAACAACACTGTGCCTAAACATAATCTGTGTTTTGGGGATATTTTAGTTTACTAGATGTTATTTGTTAATACAGAAATATGGTTCTTATTTGATGAGTTATGAGATACCTAACTCCAACACTGAGGCTGTAACAAAAATAAACTCTAGATGTCTGAGAGATAAAGTGTGAAATACTGCTGAAGGAGGCAGCTGCTAATAGTTTTCAAGTTGTCTCGTCTCTCAGCAGTAACTCTGTGTCACACTACATAGACATATGGGTAGATTAACAGCAGTGTTTCATGGAGTCCTGTATAATTCCCCATTCAGTTTATAGTGATAACTCAGTAAAACTCTAATTCTTCTAATTGCAAGGAAATAGGAAATTGAAACTTTAATACAATTTAGAGTTAAAAAGTAATATGGCTTAATTTAAATCTCCTCTGAGCAAAAACAAAGACTGCTTGCAGACATTAAAAAAAATACAAAACCCAAAAAACTGTGCTGTACTGGAAGAAGCAGCATGTTATTTCAACTCAGCTCTGCAGTGTCAGTAAAGATCAGGTGCCAAAAAAGCACCAAAAAAACCTGACTAAAGCACTTGATCTTTTATAGACATCAGGCGAGCCAGGTTGAAGTAATGTGCTGCCTCTTCTGGGCATGCATGGGGCTCCATGTGGGAATGCACCAAGTTAAAATAAAGCGCTGGGTTTTTTGTTTTTTGGGTGGAGAGGTACATCTGCAAGCACCCATTGATTTAAGGTTGGTTCATACAGCAAGGAGAAATGGGGAAAGTGGATGCAGACTTATTTCATTAAAAAAACTTGAGGACATTCAGTTAAGTCAGTAATGACCGTATTGTGGGATAGGAGGCTTTTAACTGTGATTATTAGCTGGGGTAATATTCTTGGTGACTACAGAAATAATACAGGAAGTTGCATTCACATATAAACTAGATAAATAATTGGAAGGGAATAAATAATCATATAGACATCTCGTGGGCTGATGCCTTGCACTTCATTACACTTAACAGCAACAAGATCTGTTAATAGGGAATTTTCTGCAAATTGGAATGGATTTTAAAATACAGATACAAGCTTCACATGTAAAAATAAATTTGACTAATGCTATTTAATAATGTCTTTCTACATTTAGATGCGGGATTGCTTAAAGACCTTTTCCAAGGATCTGTAGCTGAAGATAAACTCGGTGTTCTTGCTGAGCAGCAATTTAAGGAGTTAGTGCATGCTATGCACTGTAAGTCTGTTTGCTTTCAAGTTTGCAAAAATTGGACCAAAATTTAATACAGTGAAAAACCCCAGTATACACTAAACGTTCAGTGGCAAATGTCTACTGAATCCCTCAAATAACACACATCGAACTTACATTCTCAGTCTCCTACTCTGCTAAGTTCTTCCCTGATGATGATCCTTTCTGTATCACATGAGAAGTATTTGGCATACAGCGTTCAGTTCCAGCTATCACATTACTAGAATACAAATTAGAGGCAGTTTGTAGAAGAAAAACAAAGATGATCAAAAGTGGAAAGAAAAATTAAAAGGACTAACTATGTATAATTTGGCTAGTGAAGCAAGCAAAAACAAAGGCCCAAGTTCTGGCACCTGCTTGAACTACTTATATTATCCCATGATTTCTCAATGTGGCACAGGGCCATTGTACCATTACTTTTATTGCCACCCCTACTAGCCCCATTACATGAGACATGGACAAGAGTTGCCTATGTCCCACTAATCATCAGCTGCAAGAACACTGGCTGCTAGCCTACAGTAGAATGGCCTTGAGGCCACAGCTGTCATGTTGGGAGCTGGCCTGCTGCCTTTCATTGTGGCCACGGGATTGGAGAAGGTTTAAAGGTGAATTGTCTTTGTTCCATTCCCTTCCCATAGCATAAATAAATAAAAAGCCCCCCTTCTGAGCTGAGTGAATACAGCTCAAGACACAGTCCTTGAATCAATTTTCACTTTGCAAATATTTGACACAGAAGAGTAACTATTTAGGTTGGCATATATGGGTATTACTGTATGCAATAGGGTGAAATTAAAAAAAGATTTATCCTTGTATAGCCATAAATTTCTTGGCAACTAGATTTAGAGGTGCTGGTAACTCTGTTGCTTGAAAAATAAAAACAAGCTGGACAAATTACTAAAAATATACTGTAAAACTGTCCCACATTTTGATGGAGAGATGGAAAAAATGACATAATACATTTTTCTGTATCACTTTTATGATTTTAAGCAGTCTCTGAATATTAACTTATTGTTCAATGTTCCGTCAATAGATATCTGGTAAATTCCCAATTATTTTCATAACAGTTATACATCTCTAGCTCTAGTTTTTTTTAATTTGCTTTCTTTATTCCAAAAATGGTAATTTGGGATTTTTTTTTAATGTTTATAGTTAATAAAGTACAAGCCATTGTCTATTGCACTTGTTCAATTTATAAAGAGGAAAATGAAGAAGTAGTGAACAAAGCTCTAGAATATGGAGTGGAAGGAGGTAAAGTACAACCTTACAGGTAAGGAATAGCTTTTTTGCATGTAGAAAATTTAAAATTTAGAGAGAGAATCATAAAAACACTCTCCAAGATGCATTATGCCTTTTTGGTCAATTATACTGGTAAAGCACTTACCTTTTTTGGATTATGGATTTATGAAGAGTATTTTAATTATTCATTTAAATTCGTTTGTCCATTCCATTGAAATTCAAATTTAAATTCAAGTAAATATGGCCACTGATGTATTTTACTTCCCCTTTAATGTTTTGCTACATGTAAAGGAATGCCAGATTGTCTAGCGCTCTTATGTCCGCTGACCTCACATTTTAGCTGGAAGTTTCGATGGTTCTATCTTCCAGTATTCTAATATTATAAAAGCCTAAATCTGGCCATCTGTAACGCTTTATTTGTGCTCTGATTGGCTGACAAACAGCCAGTCAGAGTGTGAAGAAGTGTTCTGACAGAAGGAAGCCCACTGCTATGATGGTGGGGACACAGGATGGAGCAGGGGGTGGGAAGCCGGCCTGCTCTCCACCCCCACCAGTCATTCTTGACAGGCAGTTGGCTAGTATTCTAATATTATAAAAGCCTACGTCTGTCTGTAACGCTTTATTCACACAGTGATTGGCTGATGGGAACAGCCAATCAGAGTGCTCCAAGTATAGGGGAGCACTGCCATGATTCTGAAGCCACACTGAGGACCAGACAGGGTGGCCCAGTCCCTGCAAGAGGCAGAACAGCAGCAGCATGGGGCGTTAGGTGGTGGAACTCCATCCCCGCCCCCCTGTTATTCTTGACAGGCAATTGGCTAGTGTTCATATAAATATATAAGACTCAGTTGTCCTGTCTGTTTATTTTATGGATCTGGGAAGTGACTGTCTGACTTCTGCAAATGTGCTGAGATTCATATAGGTTTTGAAACCAGTTTGTTTTTAGAGGATTGCTTTTCCCATCTCATGTCATGGGCATAGTGAGATAATCTCCACTTCCTTTTTCCTGACACAAAACAGAATTTAAATGCTGTCTCCTACTTTGTTTCATTCCCATGAGAGAATTCAACCTATACTACATACTGAGGGAAGCACTTAAATTCATTTAAATGCAATTTAATCCTGAAGCAGACAAGCTTACAACCATGTCAGTTTAAAACTTCCTGGAACAGTTGAAAAGTGTATCTGGAAAATGAAAAATTTTGACACAGTTCACTGCATGGTGGATTTGATTTAAATCGAATCTATTTAAATCACTGGGTAGGAAGCCTCAATTTAATTATTGTTTTCTACAAAAGGTGCGTTCTTGTTGTTTGATATCCTTTTATTCATTTACTTTTCTCTAAAAGTGCAGTTTCATGAAGTTAAGGGCTTGACTGTGTGTATACAAACTTGCAGAGAGACACGAGGGCTGATGGGTAGGTGATCAGGTCTATTATCCGTCATCTCCATAGACTGCTGTTAACAAGGATGTTATCTCTGAAGACGACAAACTCTCCCTATACCTGAAGAAGGGCATTTGTGCCCGAAAGCCTACAAAGAACAATTTTTGCAACTAATTAGTTGGTCTAATGCAGGGGATGTCAACTGGGGTATGCGTACACCTGGGGACACTTGGAAAGGGGTTATATGCTCCCAACCATCACCCTGTGCCACCACCTCCCAGCAGCAGGGGGGTGAGGGCAGCGGCTCCCCTCTGTGAGCTGCACAGGCGCTGGCCCACCAGCTGAACACAGTGTGGGGGAGGGCGTGGAGAGAGCTCACGTGCCACCATCCACCACCCTGTGCTAACGCATGCAAGACCTCCTTCCTCCTCCCCCCCGCTCCAGATCCGGCTGCTGTGCTTCCCCCTCCTCCCCCCACCCCCTTTTAAGGAAAGGTTGAAAATCCCTGGTCTAATAAAAGATATCACATCTACCCAAAGAACCTTGTTCGCCTATATGTCTGGAGATGAATCCACTGTTTGAGAACTGAAACTAAGCATCACAGAGATGCTCAGTGGATTTTCTAGATTGAGCACTGAGTCCCATTGGGTAGAGTAGTTTTCTTTAATATTTACTAATCTATGGAGGAGCCTCTGGGACCCCCATAAGATTGGGTCCCTAATATAGTCTATGGCCTGTTGTGGCCTATTTATAAAACTTCTAAAAAGGTTACATGAATATATTCTTTCAAATAGTATATAATTAGAAGTTATAATCCCTATTCCATGATGATATCTTTGAGTGTTAACATATCTTGAATTAAAATTATCTTTATATGTTTAGTTTTTTAAAAACCATCTTAAACTCAAATACAAATAAATTTTAAAAAATCCTATTTAAATAAAAAAATCGAATAAACCAACAACAACAAAACATTGACTTTTATCCACCCTGGTTAGAGCACTCTTTCAGAAAAAAAGGAGACCTGCTTATAGCTTTGAACCTACACAAAGCTCTAACTACCAGGCCACAGGTTAGGCATTATATAGTGCCCTCCCTCTTGAAGCTGAACCACTGCTCTTTTTATTATTCATTCATTGGCTAGAGGGCAGTGGGGAACCTGGCAGGGGGTCGGACTTGATGACCTGCTTAGGTCCCTTCTGACCCTACCAGCTATGAAACATTGAGTAGAAGGATCCAGGCCCTGACTTCCCTTCCAGAGTGCCTATGTAATTGTAGCCATGAGAAAAGCCATCTAAGAGTGTTTATTAATTTTAATAGTTTTGTTTGCAAATGGTCAGTATACCTTATTGAAAAATGTAGAATTCCAGTAGACTCGGTTTGTTTTGAATCAGAATTCTGTTTATTAAATGAAGAATAATATGGTTAAATATTAATGCATGCCTGTAAAAGATGCTAACCTAGGGATTGTACTTCAAACCGATATTTAGTGTCTCTATTTGTTTGCATTTTATAATGTGAACTGTTTCATTAGAATCGTCTGATCTGTAATATTCCCTAGGCTTAGTCCACCTGTTCTTCCTCTTTGCTGCAACTCAGAGATTTCTTCTGATTCTTTCTTCAAAATGGAGCCATCTGAGATTTCCAATTGTTGTTTCTTAGCAGTCCTAGCCAGAGAGGTAAGCCCTAAAGAAGCAGAATGGGTCTACATTGAAAAAAATTACTAAATTGAAATATTTCATATATTATATTTATTTTTTAGTATCTTTTAATAAACCAGTATACAAAATGTATCATATATAAGTAACTTGACTTTAGCTTAGCCCCCTTTGTCTCAGAGTGTTCACTGGACAAACAAGACTAAAGACAAGGACGCAAGGCAACAGTTTATCGAGAGGTAAATGAGAGTGAAACATCTTGGAAGCTTTGTAGCACATCCTTTGTATTTGGTGTCGGTGCATTGAAGAGAAGGGCGTGTGACCAACGCAGTCTGTTTTACTGCTTGATCATTTTTTTTCATCACTGCAGTATTGTAGGGAGAATAGGTCTGGTGTGAAGCTAGTATCATTCTTTTCCTGTGACCTTTCTCCACTGTCACCATGGTGCGGTAGCCACGCTGCTTAAAGCATGTTGTTTGGAGCCAGTGCTTAGAGTCAGTTAAAACAATCAGTCATCCTGTTTGTCTACATGTATAGAGCCCAGGAGGGATCCTAGCACTCCTGCATACCTTGCAAAGACTTGCCAACAGATGAATCTTCTCTTAACATGACTGTGGAATGGAATCATGTCACAAGGATTGCAGCCCTGTTATAGGTTGGGTTAAACTGCTGAAACTGGTAGATTTAAATATTGCTTGTTTAAAATTGGCTGTAAGAGATAGTTAAGCATATTTCCTCCTGAAACTAATACAAAGCTGTGCAGAAATGTGTATGCTGTGAGTGGAGGGCTTTTGGCTAGGAATAGTTTTGGGAAGGGGCATTCGATGGCTGAGAGCGAGCACATAGAAACAGACAAAGCCTGACACAGCCTGAACAAGCTCAGTAGCTTGACCCAAAGGAAAGGCGGAGAGAGAAGGTTTTTAGAGAATGCCAAAGGAAAGAGGCTTGATGTTATGATTAGAAAATTGCATTGTAGATACCTGACCACCATAAACTCTTCCTAACTGAAGCAGCCTACAAGAATCTGAGTATTTTGCCCAGTCACTCAGTTTCTTTACAAAGTATTTATTTCAATTTAGATCACACAGATGCTTGGAATCGTCCTAGATTAAATGGAATCTTCTGCCTGCTGCCTGAAGTACAAATCTATTTACTACCCATTTACACATAGTGTCATCACTTTCAAATTTAACATCACTTTCAAATTTAAATGGTTTCCTTTTGAAATGAAAGAAAATGAAGGATCCTGTTGAAAAGAAATTGATTTTTTCCTACTCAAAGCTGCTTTCATCTTAAATTTATAAATTTTATATCTTTTCTAATAATGAGTATTTTTTTAATCTAGAAATGCTTGCGTCTCACTTAATTACATATTTCAAAATAAGGCTCTTTCCAAAACATAAGCTTATACAGGCACAAGGTAAGCCACAATTCAGCTTCTAGTAAAACTACTCAAGTGTGCTGGACATGGAACTTTCTCTGTTGCCATTAAGTTGAAAGTAACATCCAGTTTGGGCACTGGTTCTGCGTTGTGATTGTGCTAGCGTAGGACTGGGATTGTAATGCCCAATCACTTTGTCATAGTAAGCATAATCCTTGTAGTGTTTGCAGTGTCACTCTGAAATTGTTTAACAATGACTGGCCCAGCAATACAGTTGTCAATACCGGTTCAGTGTTCCTCTGGACTGACAGGATTGCGACCACCTTAGGGACCTTAAAGTGGGTTGTAAAAGTAGGTGAGGAAAATATAAGCTCGTATTTTTTCTGCTGGGGGCAGGGAGGGCCTCTTATTTTTATGGAAAAGCTGTTCAGATGATTAATCTTAGAAGTAACAGATGTGAGCTCTATTTGATCATTCAGTCCCTCTTCCAGTGTATTACAGCAATACTTTGTATGAAAGGCTTGACTCACGGGGAGATTAAAAGTTGAAGGGTTCTAGCAGAACAAGAGAATTCCAAGTGAACCCCCCCCCCCCCTGTTAAATAATTATCTGTCAATGTAGGATTTTTTTTTTTTCTTCAAAAGGGCTACTAAGACTTCTACCATTTCCCTGGCAGGAAAAACCATGCACTCTGATAGCCCTGGTATGACTTGCCTACCTGTTTGCTGCCTCCAGAAATATGTCCCCTCTCAAACACACTGGAGAATGAGGACTCAAAAACAGCCATGGAGAGATGCCCTGGTGCATCTTTGCTAGCACATTTCCAGGTTTGGAACCTGTGTGTGGCAGTAGGTAGGCAGCCTGTGTTGGGCATAGCTTGGCCAGGGTTTGTTACTGCCATGATACAAACATGCCGTGTCAGGTGTCCAGTTTAAAATTTCTGTTCTTCACTTACATGACAGTTTTCCTTAGCAAGTCTAAATTAACCTTTTCCTTCCTTCATATGTGGGTAACTTTCTGTTTTTCACTAATCTGCCTTGACAGTTGTGTAATTTATTAATGTCTTAGATGAACTTTCCACACTGGGTACACTTCTGCTAGTAACTGTCTTATTACCCTTATTAATATTTCACCTTAGGATCTCGAAGACTTTACAAACATTTGTTCTATATTCTGAGATACTGCGGAGATATTTTCGAACAGGGCATGGGCAAACAGAGAAAAAAACAGAAAATTAGGGTTGGAAGGGACCTCAGGAGTTCATCTAGTCCAACCCCCTGTTCAAAGCAGGGCTGTCCCCAACTAGATCACCCCAGTCAAGGTTTTTGTGGCTGGGTCTTAACCTCCAAAGATGGAGATTCCACCACCTCTCTGGGTAACCTATTCCAGTGCTTTACTACCCTCCTAGTGAGAGAGTTCTTCCCCATATCTAACCTAAACGTCTCTTACTGCAACTTGAGACCATTGCTCCTTGTTCTGTCATCTGCTGCCGCTGAGAACAGTCCAGCTCCATCTTCTTTGGACCCCTCTTCAGGTAGTTGAAGGCTGCTATTAAATCCCCTCAGTCTTCTCCAGACTATATAAGCCCAGTTCCTGCAACAAGTCATAAGTCATGTGCCCTAGCGCCCTAATCATTTTTGTAGCCCTCCACTGGACTCTCCAATTTGTCTACAACCTTTCTGTAGTTGAGGGGCCCAAAACTGGACATAGTTCTCCAGCTGTGACCTCACCAGTGATAGATAGAGGGGATTAAGTTGCGCATCAGTGACTTGTTGCACAGCAAATCTGTTGGGAGCCACAAACCTAACAGTTGAGAATTCCATTTCCTTCCTACAAGCACTAGACCACTAGTATCCAACCTTTCTGGGCTGTGGGCCAGATGCGTGATACAGAGTTGGTCCATAGGTTAGATCTGGTGTGTGGGGTCAGCCTGAAGACATGATCCAGCAGCAGGTTGGCAAACAGGCACAATGCAGCATGGGGCCCCAGCCCTGCATGTGCCAGATCAGGCCGAGTGCCTTGGCCTGTTCCAGCTCACAGGGCTATGTCATCTGGCTACGGGGCTTGGAAATTTGGTGGTGGGGGAGCAGTGGCAATGTTAATTGCCACCATTCCCCCGCTGTCAAATTTCCAAACCTGTGTGGAGCCCTGCAGGCCAGATGAGGCTCTGTGCTGGTTCCAGCCCATGGGCTGGAGACTGAACACCACTGTATAAAACCATAAACATTCTTGAAAAGCATGAACACATTACTTTGAATGCAAGGCAATACTTGTTTTTTATTCCCATCGTATTACTCAGGAACTTTGTCAGCAGTGTTTTCACAAATGACTTGAGTTCTCCTGCTTGATTCTGTAGTGAAGTTAGGTCATTAATGACCTCAGTCTGTTGCTTTACAAATATTTGTATTCTTTTTTTTAGAACATACAGTGGGGTCATAATCCTGAACTTGACAATAGCTATAAGGTATCTAAGGGATTAAAATAATATTGTAGCTTAGCTCATTACTGTCTCCTCTTTAATTTTCAGAAGGATCCATCTGAGTCTGTATCTGTTAAAGACATTTTGTCTCGTGCTGCAGCCAAAGGACTATTAGAAGGCATTGAAATAGAAAAACCCTCAAAGAAAGAAGAGAAAAAGAAGAAGAAATCAAAAGCAGTGCAGCAAAGAAACATGCCTAAAGATATCTCGGCACAAACAAAAATTGCAGAATTCTTGGGCCGAGAGATGGTATCTCTTAAATCTAATTCTGAAATTTCAGTATCAAAAGCAATTAGTAATTCTGAGAAAAAAAATCTGAGCCAAACAAACAGTTCTGTTCAAGGGAAGAAAATGACCAAACCTGTCTTAAACTCCTCCCTGCCTAGAATGTTGAAGAACGCACCGAACCCATCAACTATGAATAAAGTGCTTGAGAAACGGACAAATATTAAGCCACGGGCAGAAGATAAAATGGTTGTACTAAAACCTGTAGAGATAGTTCTGCCTCCAGTTATGGTGCCGTACTTCAACCCACAAGGCAACAAATCCAGAATTGCAGCTCACCATTATTACTATCACTGGATTGGAATAAACAGCTCAACACATGGCTTGCTTGTACCTTCTGTGTCAAAAAGACTGATGAAATCGAAAGAAACATTACCTTCAGCTGTGATTAAGCATCCTCGACCATGGCTTTGAAGATGGACTCCTGTTACTGGTTTGTAGATATAATCACTTATATTTATTTAAAGACTTCTGTGTAGGTTATTTTCTATACTTAGACTACAGCATGCACTAGCTACCTATAGAGATGCTTTACAGTTCATACCCTTTTCATGGTTATTATGGCTATAGCATGGGACTATTTTGCGAAAGGGTCAATACATTGTGTAGTTGCTTTAATCCAACTTTAGATTTTTAATATCAAATTCATATGACACATCTAGAGATTATGCAAATCACTGGGGGGCAGAGCTCAAGACGTTATATAGCTAATTGTTTATCATTTTAAAATGTGACAGAATTTGGAAGGTGCCTTTCACTAAAACTATGTATTTACCCAGGAATGTGGAACTTACGATTAATTTTCACAAGCTTTATTCAGCATTCTAAAAAGTGCCTCATTACAAACTTCAGCTTTCAAGTGGTTATTTCTGAGTTTGCTAAAATAACAGCATCATTATTTATGCCACTGGTGCATGGGAATGAAAGTCAAAATTACAAGCCAGGCTACTTTTCTAAAATTAGAGGTGGATTTTTGTGAATGTCAAAGTTGTATGTTCTCAGCTTAGATATTTCATGCAGGCATCTGGGGAACACACAAGTTCATACATAGTCTTAAAAATGTGTCCTTGTTTCCTAGCAGCTATACTTTAATAAGCAACAGCTGGAACATTCAGAAAAATATTGAACAGAAAACCTCATGTTAAAACTGCATGTGTACTTGGATGCTAAAAAATGACGGCTGAATTAATATCAAACATGAGGCCATCGTGCTGCCATGGCTTTTAAAATTGACTTCTCAGGCCAGGTAGAGCCTGAAAAACCCTGATTCTCACTGAACTACTTTCTTACCACTCATTTTGTTCATGGTGAAAAGTGCTTCTGTCAGATGTAGGTATGCTGTATCTAGCAAATGTGATTTCTTTTATGTACCAATATTGTTCATTTAAATAATGACTTTCAGAACAATTTTTGGTTTATATCCGTCTTGGAGATGGATTTAAAATGTTTGAGCCAAATGGCATGTGGGTTAGGGGAAGAATGCCGAAAAGCATTTCTAGTTCTTTGTGAAGATCAAGTTAAAAGTTAAAGTACACTGTTTTTGAGATTTGTCTAAAATCTAATAGTCTGAGTCATTCTAATTTGTAATTAATATATTGTTGCATCTTGCTTGGTAGATTGTATTTTCAACCTATACAAATTTTGAATGTTCAGGAACATAACATTTATTATTAGCTGCTTCAGTATTTTCAGAAGTTTTTTTTAAAGCTAGAAGAGTTAAGATATTCTACTGTCAAGCACATCTCAACTCTTTCAGTGTTCACAGGCCTTTTCTGAACTTGGAGAGAAGAATAACTTCAAGCCTTCTTTGCCGTGTTTGAAATAATTGCTGGATATTTTCATTTAGAATTTCTCTCTAAACATTGACATCAGCTAGCCAATTCAGAGGTATTATGTAGTATTTTTAAAATAGGTTCAGAGGATAACTTTCTATCATTTATACTTTAAGCCAAAAGTATATGTACTTTAACTTCATAAATATATTAACAGTAATGATTTTTTTCTATTACAGTTGGTAACTTGCTAAACTTAAGTCCTAGTGAATTCAAAATAAAATGACAACTATTAAATGCCTACATTCGTTCTATACTTTGTGCTGAAAATCTAAAGGTGAAAGTCTTGACCTCTCCTCAAGACTGTACAAAAATTGATCTGTCAGATATGTAATATCATCAGCCCCACAGGTTAAAAGTTGACAGGAATTTTTGAAAACCTTAACTGTCACTCAGTCGTACCCTTCCCAGGTGTGTGCACTTACATCAAACGACTGTGCATGGCCAGCTTCTCCAAAGCTAAGCAACATGAACTTTCATTGCTATGTCTGCCCAGCCCCTAGCCCAGCAATGAAGTCTGTTTCCATTTTATCCCTTCAGTGTCATTCTTGTTCCTGATGTACTTATGCCCTTTCCAGGCCTGACTTAGGGCCAGTCAGCTCCTCCTCTTCTCCCAAGCTGGCTGTTGCAGTTACAGTGATGGGAAGAACAGAGAAAACCATCCTGTTGCTCCAGGAGAGAACAGACGTGCCCTGAGCAGCTGAGCTTGTCCTGCTCATTCCTTTCCTTCTCCAAGCCTGGTGTGCATGTTTGAATCCTGACAACTACCTTTTTCCTGCAGAAGTCCTTACTGTGGGCATGAATAACAGCAGCAAGCTGTAGGTGAAAGGTTCACTAGCTCACTAAAAATTCATTACAATTGCTTCCCTTCTCACCATCCTCCCAGCCCTCTTTAAAAAAAAGTCTTCTAGGACTTCTTAAAGGCAGTATAGTGGTAGGAATATTACTGCCATCCTCTCTCTAACCCAAGAGATTAATCTTTCCTTTTAAGTTACCACCAAACAATTCAAAATGCATTGAATTTCTTTCCTTCCTTAGGACAGAGGAAGTGTCCAATGCTGTTGAATGGCATTTCCCAAGAAGTGTACCAGTTTCCAAATGTCATGGACCAGTGACAAGAGAGACAAGACATTTTATGCAGCTAAATTTATTCTCACAACAGATTACATTTAATGTGTAAAAGTGGTCAACAGCAAAAAAAAAAAAAAAAAAAAAGTCCTTTTCAGATTCAGTCAGCTGCTTTATGTAACACTGAACTCTGACTGATAAACAGTGGGTGTGTTTTCCTTTCTCTTTTGCAGATATTAAAATAAATCAAACCTACTTCTGCTGACTGCACAGCACAGGTTTTAGCAATGTATTAAGATAACTAAGCCTGCCACATAAAGGTATTAAGGTGTGGGCTTTAACGCTTGAGCCAATATCAGCTGTTGAAATAAGAATAGCTCCATTTTCCACAAGTGATTTACTAACACTTTCATATCCCTGCTTCAATGATTTATGGAACGTTTGATACAATTAAAAGAAAAGGGCTTTAAAATCTTTGTCTATGGCACAGAACAAACTCAATCCATTCCTCTTTTAAGGGCTTATGTTTGCTTTAGTTTTTTTTAAGCGGTAGAAGTAACTGCATACAGCATTTATCCCCAAGAAGTCTTCACTGTAAGAGACATCAATGCCCTTTTTTATATTTATTTTGTTCCTGTGCAACTGTCTGGTAGGTGTCTCATATCTTTTTTTCTTTAAATGAAATAGTAAGTAGTTTAAATAAGACCTAAAGAGAGCACCAAGGCTTGCTGTAGCTTTCAAAGGAAAGGCTTCCAACTACAGACTTTTGCAGTGCCAGTAAATCTTGCTTCCTCAATGGAACATTTTAATGAGATGATGTGATATCTGCTTTAACTTACTATTTGCATTTAAAAAAATAAGATGACAGCTTTACACATTTTTGCCATTTCTTTTACGTACTTCAATAAAAATGTGACTACAAATAATTACAAAACTCACCTTTTTAGGCAACGTATAGTACACAGAGATTATGTAGCATGGGAAAAGTTGTGAGATCATTTCTAGTAAAGATAAGTCAACATAATAAAGCAGGATATTTCAGTAAAAATAGAATAAATAAAATAAAAATATTTTAAGCTATATTTAACAGGTTAATTAAAAAATGACACGAGACATATGAGGCATAGTGAACATGGCTGTCTGCTTACAGGATCACTAGATACAAAAATGCATAGATAACTGAAGTGTCACTACAACATTGGGTAAAACACTAGCATTTGCTCTTTCACACGCATCATACATACTTTTTGGCCATGGCAGAAAGTGTCTTAACCTATTGTTTTAAGATATTTGGCTTTGCAAAAATTAACCCTTGTTCCAAACACTTAGGTTATACACTTAGCCTTGAAGAGCATAAAGATCCTGTTGAAGCCAAAGAGACTACTTGCATGTTTAAGGTACCTGGGTTTTGCAGAATCAAGGTCTTGGCCAGTATTTTGGTAAAGTCTACCAGACTATTTTTAACACAAAGTATCTGCAAATGACACCTCCACACATTTCTCTTTCATCTCCTCACTGCTTCTTGGGATTGCACACATGACTCTTACTTGTTTTGCTACTGAACAGTCTAGACAAAACTGCACCACAATGGGGAGTGACTAATGTGATTTTTTAAAGCAACTCTATAATTATAGAAAGAATAGGTCCTGGTTTGGCCATCTGGGAAACATTGCTTGATATCTATATTATTTAAATCTCACTGCTGTGGGACTGTTGTAAATCTCAGCCCTGGCATAGTTTCAGTTTGAAACTTGAAATGCTCACTGTCAGGATATTTCCTATCATTAAAAAATAGCAACTGATTGGTTCAGGAGAGTGATAACAAATACATAGCCTCCTGTCTTCAGACCAGTGATTACTGAATCAACCAAACTGGTAATGGCTGGGGACTGTTATCATTTAATGGCTGTTTGGGAGCAAGTGGGAAAAGGATTAGTTTGAGCCCTCCTCTTAGTGACTCACTGCTATCACCAGTGTTGGAAGTCAGAGACAGAAGGAGCAAATGTATATGGAGGCTGCTTCAAACCCTGATTCTCCAGAACAGGATGAGGGACACAACTGCTATGGTGAGGGATTTAAGCATACACCTGAATTGTGTGTGTGTGTTTAGTATCAGTAAACTTTTATCCCCCTTCTCTCTCTTCCCCCCCTCCCCAGCCTGTCTCTCACCCATTGACTCCTCAATCTACATTTTCACTGACTACCTGTCTTGCATGCATACCAGACCAGCCTCTGGCTTCTTTACGTTTCATTCCATCCAGGAAGAGCACACACCAACTGCTGAAACTTCCTTAGCCTGACGAAGGGTTTTTGAACACAAAAGCTTGCTTAATAATTGTTTTACAACTATTTAAGTTGGTCTAATAAAAGATATCAGATTCACCCAAAGAACCTTGTCTGCCTAGTATCACATATGCACTTTTAACACCTTGCTGAACTGGAACCGCAGGCTAAATGTATATCTTTGTGCTGTAGTATCCTGTTAGAGGTCTCAGCCAGGTCGGGTTCCCTTTGTGCTAGGTACTGCTAAAAGAATGTAAAAAATAACCGCTGGTTAAGGAGCATTTCAGGGCCACCTCCTCCAATGCTACCCCCAAAGCTACACTTGGTATCTCACTCTGGCCCTCAGTTGTCCCATTTCATATAGGCTCAGTTCATTTAACAGCTTTTTCCCCTGTTGTTTTTAATAGTACTTCTATAAGCTAAAAGCTGAAATGTATTCAGTTACCTCGTACCCAGCCTAATTTGTTTACCAGAGGGGTGCCCATAGGTAGCCATCAACAGTAATTTTAAGGGAAGAAATACAAGAAAGCATTTACTTAAAAAACAAAACCCTTTGTGAATAGATGTAAAGACCAAATAGGTCAAACTGTGGATCTGTTAACCTTGACAATCTCTTTTCAGAATTAGTGTCAGCACAGATAAGAGTATTTAAAATGCACAAATCTGAGGGGAAATACCTTATGGTTTGTTGCCAAGGAACTTGCTGTGGTGTGGACCAACATAATTGGAGTTTTTGAAGCAGAAGTATTAAAACTAGGTTGTGCTACGAGAAGCCCCATTGTCAGAACAACTGTATCGCTGTTTCAACCTGTTGCTGAAAGCTGCTACAGAAAGGGAATGAATGAAAGTAAAACAAAACTCCACAGGACGAGGTGCACACAAACGGGCCTATGCAGCAAAAATGTGATTGTTCTTCCTTTGTGCCCATGTAAGTTTTAACTCGACAACAAATTCCAACGGGAAAAGTTGCGTCACAAGGCCTTCACCTGAAAGCTTGTTAAGAAAAAAAGGTCACAGTTTTATCTAAGGAAATGTATAGTTCCTTGTCTGCACAGTTCTGGTTGGGCTCTGCTGACTTAGGATAGGGATAAATCCTATCTGAAGCAAATCACATTTTTGTTGCATGCTGCAGGACTTTGGAGAATAAATTTAACAGCTACCAGGTACATGTGTCTGTCTGAGGATGAATAGTTGAAGCTGATGCACCCTGATTTGTATTGCTTAAAACTTTTCCAATATCTTAAGCATCAGTTTGGTATTAAAACAATTCTTCTCCAAGGTCATAATATATAAACAGTAGATGAAATATGGTTACTATGGTTCAAAAGCATTTCAGGGAGAGTTGTTAAATAGTTCCTAGACTGATTCCAACAGACACTTTAAAACTAATAGGTGCAGTTTTGGAAAATAAAACTTGGTATTTATAAGTCAATGGTAACTATTCAATACCTACTCCAGTGTTGAAAATAGGGAAGAGTGCTGCAGGATTTAAGGTTTGCTCGTGACAAATCCAGCTCAAGACGGTGAAACTATTAACTCAGGCATCATTCACTCCAAGGTTTTTAGCGTTAGTTCTCTAGGAGGGATGTGGCCATATTCTTTGTGTGTGTGAATTTAGGTAATGTTCATAATATTTACAATCAGAAATAGACCTTCCATTGCTCATGATGTAACTCACTGACAGCAAAAAAATTATTCATGCTTCTTTTCATATCACACAATGGTGGCAAGAACAAGAGAACATGCTTGTCTAACATTGTTTTGATAAGGGTAAATTCTCTGAAGACAAAGCATCAGCAATTTCAAATGGAAGGCTGAGCATCATCAGTTCATTTTCCTTAGTGTAGCTACTATATTTTGGGTTAAGTGTTACAAGAATCCTCTTATGGCATTTCAGTGACAGGGCGTTTCTGTTTCAAAGTGTCAATGAGGGACAACACTCCTCTTTTTACATTAGTTGTAACTCTTCTGGTCACCGAGTCTGCAGGAGGAGGTGGTGGTCGAATTTTCTGCGAAGGAGGTCTGGCTACTAAGCACTTCTGATACCGTAACTGCAACAAAGTAAAGGAGTTCTGAAGTTGTTAGTATATTCAGTAGCTTCAGATCAATCAGAAATGCAATCTATTTTTATAGTGTATGGTCAGATCTTCTGAATCTGTATACAGACAGAGCCCTACCGAAATTAGTAGGAAAGGGGCCAGCATATCTATGGGTAGAAATGGCCCTAGAGCACAGAGCCTTACCCTAAAACAGGGGTGGGCAAAATACAGCCTGCAGGCCAGATCCAGCCCACGGGGCCCCTAAAAAATTTAGAAAATTAATAATTCATCTGTCCTTGTTTCCTGCCAAAAATGACAGGACCCAGGGGCAGTAGGACCTAGGGGAAGCCCCAGTGGACTCCTGCAACAGCTTCTGGGCTGGGACATGTGGCTGTCCCCCCATATGGTCTTCATCTTATACACATATCATTCACAGCAAGTCTTCTAAGAACTGATGGAGCTTTTGCAGTTCTGCCTCTCAAAGCCAGAATGGTTTTCCAGATCCGCTTAAAGCATCACATGAGCCTCTATCTTTATTTTAGAAGCTTATGTGATGCTAGTTTCTACAACTGTACAGGTTCAATGACTGCTCTCTTAATAGCACTAAAATCACCGACAAATGGTTTTGGGCAGACCTTTGCATGTGTCCTTGATGCACAATTTGACTGGAAGCTGTTTTGGGAAGAGACCATCTCTTTGTTCTGTTTGCCCAGTGTCCAGTACAGTGAGGTCCTAAGCCGTTATTTGGACTCCTGAGCACTGCTACATAGACCATCCAAAGCCTTTAGGTGCATTCTGCTTTTCCAGATACCACTGAACAAGTTTCTGTGCCTATGGTAGTACAGCACAACCTAGATATTTGGCAGGCTTACATTCTTATCCTGCCCCTGCCGCCCTCTAAGGATGAGGGGTTTGCAAAGTAACCAAGGTACACAGAACTGTAGTGAACAGCTCTGTAGGATGTCTGGGGTGTTCCAACTGTTTGGCGAAGATTTTATTTCAAAGGCATTGCTTCTCCTTCAACGCTCGCACTGCTTTGTCCTTAATTCAGCAGCCTGCTGTGAGTTAAGCTGGTTGCAAACCACAGGAATACAAATGCTCTGGACTCCACAGTACAAAATACTATAATACAAATATCTTCTTGCTTTTGTTCTTTTAAAAACATTGTGAAAGATCTGTATATTTGTTACCTGAAATCCGTCAATAATACCATCAAGCTCAGGGCCTTTAAAGATGAATTGCACATGTCAAATTTTAGAGTCTGATTTTTAAATGTAAATGAAAACTTCCCATAGGTCAATTTACATGTATAATTTGAATATCTACTCCAATTTGGCAAGGTGCTAGAGAGGCCCAGTGCTTATCATTACTTGTAAAATGTCTGTCAAACTGCCCCATGCCAGAGAATCATATAATGAGAATAAAGGGATGGGAGATGAGCTTAGAATAGGAGCCTTATTTCCTTACTTAAGTTTGAAGATCTCAAAGAATGTTTATGTGTAAAGTATTACATACATCACTTTTCAACTACCACAGGAGTGAACTGCAACTCTGGAATGATTACAATTTGAAGGCGTGAAAGAGTCAGTGAACACTACAGCTCCATTTGTAAAAGATCACTTACCATGCAAGCAGCCTGAACAGCTTCTGATACATTGCCTGCATTTGGCTCACACCAAAAAACATGGCACTCAAAATGCTGGTTTCCTGTATCCATAATGAAGGCAAATGTATGGATATCCTTGCCCACTCCCATAAAGGACAGGAATCGTACACGACATTCCACCATGATTTCTTCTTCATTCTGGTCAAGGGGTAATGATTATCCATCATTAGTACAATGTAGCCGATATATTTTGAATTGATAAATACCTAAATAAGATGCCAGAAGTAACGCCAAATTAATACGATGAATACCTACAGCCTCATCAACATGTGAGCTAGATACTGAGGTAAATTAACTCTGAAGGTTAATGTAGGTTAACACCAATCAGAAAAGCAAGACTCCAGTGGCTGCAACTCATATTAGGTATATGTCTTCCATAAGAAAAGCTGTGGTGGCTTAAAAAAATATATCAGGTTGTCCAGACATGAAAAAAAAAACTCCCTTAGTTATCCCCTAATTATCACTTACTCTCCTAATCATCAGTGCTGAGAAAGGAGGATAATTTAGGGCTGCAGGGACAGAGATGTATTTCTTAAAGATTCATTCTTACTGGTATATCTGGGGAAATGCTCTATAGAGCAGCAGCAGCATGAAACAGGTTAAAAGAAACTGCTCTCACTGCTCAGAGAGTAAGGGAGTACAGCCTGGTAGGGTAGGACAACAGTCTGGGGTTTAAGTCCAACAACATTAGGCTTAAAACTCTTAGTAAAAGGTAATGCTAATACCAGGGCTGTCCCTAGTGGGGGTGTGAATCAGCGCAACTGCCCCAGGCTCTGCGGAGCCAGGCGGAGAGGCCGTGGTGACTCCGTGCTGCCACTGGCTTCCTGTCCGGCTGGTCGGCCAGCCCCCCCCCCCCCCTTTC